CCCCAAAAAAAAAAAAAAAAAAAAAAAAAAAAAGGAATGGAAGATAGAAGAAATAATTGTTGGAGCTAGGTCGTTCAGGAAGTAGAGAGGGTAAGATCCAAAACACAGGTAGTAGAGACACAAGCCAGAATGGGAGAGGGGCCAAGTCATCTTCGGAGACAAGGGGTTAGGAGGGAAGCCTGAAAACAGATGCTATTACTCTTGTAGAAGTCGAAGAGGATATTAAACAAGATTCCCACCTGTTGGCCTCAATTTTCTCAGTGAAATAAGAAGCAAGTTCATCTGCTATGAGTGAGAAAGCATATTGTTAAATAAGAAGAGTGGATGTTTAAAATAAATTAATTTAATACCTGGTTAAAAAAAAAAAAGAGAGAGAAGAATAGTAACACATAAAAATTGCTATGGTATTGAGCTACCAGTTGAAACTAGATACCATGAACTTTTAACAATGACTCCATGTATAGCTGTCATTTTCCTCAGGGCCCAGCAGATCTTACGTAGGAGCAAAACAGTCAAATGGATTGACCCAAGGTTTGTTCATTCCATCATTCATTCATTCACTCATCATTTGTTAAACATCTAACAAGTGCCAGGAAGGTTCAAAAGGGTGGGGAAATAGCACAGAGATTTACAGGACAGATGTGAAGGATATGGAAAAAAGGAAATTATGCTGGATAACATGAAACTTTAAGTATAGATTAGATAGATAAAGAAGCAGAGCCAAAAAGGAGAAATAAAGTGGCTGGGGGTTGAGGGAAGGAAGGAAGAAAGGAAAGGGAGGGTGGAAAAGAGGAGCGAGGATGGAGAGAGATAAAGGAGAAAAGAGAATAGGAGGTTATAACCCAGTACAGATATAGGCATTTAGTATTTTTGAAGAACAGCAAGGTCCAAGATCTAGTCATGAGAACAATTTGCTGAAAGAGTTTGATAAAGGTGATAACCACTGGAGTTGAGAAGTAAGGAAGTAAGGTTAGAGTGCTGGTGAGACATTCCACATGGACACTCAGATTGCCCACGATATTAGAAATACAGGTAAGATAAGGAGGGAAGAGTTGATCAAATTTCCCAGTGAATGTAGGTGAATGACCAACATATCAGTTGAGGAAAAGACAGAATAAAAGAAGTACAATATAAAATAATTCAATAATGGAACCAAAACAAAAATGCTTTCCTATGCAGTTGGAGACATCACAGTTTAAAGGGAGTGTTGCACCCAATCTCATGGCACATGGACCGAATAAGAAGCGGGTTCCCTGGAGAAAAGTCAGAATAACATGTGGAGGGAGGAGTTAAAACGTTAAAAAGTTGCGGGTAAGCTAAAACCATAAAATTCTTAGAAGAAAACAAAGCCATAAATCTAGATGAATCTTGTATTAGACAGCAGTTTCTTACTATTACACCAAAAGAATGAGTGATAAAAAAGGCAAACTGAACATCATCAAAATTAAAACCTCTTGGTACATCAAAGGACACTACTAGGAAAATAACAAGACAACATAGAAAATGGGAGAAAATTTTTGCAAATCATATACCTGATAAGAGACCTGAATCTAGAATATATAAAGTGCTACTTGAACTCAATAAAAAGACAAGCCATTTAAAAATGGGCAAAAGATCTGACTAGACACTTCTCCAAGAAAGATATACGAATGGCCAATAAGCACATGAAAAGATGTTCAACATCATTAACCAACCAATAAATGCAAATCAAAACCACAATGGAGGAAGTGGGCAGTTACTGTTTAACGGGAATAGATTTTCAGTTTGGAAAGATGAAAATGTTCTGGAGATGGCTGGTGATGGTTCCACAGCAGAGTGAATGTATTTAACACCACTGAACTATACACTTAAAATTGATTAAGATAGTAAACTTTATGTTGTGTATATTTTACCATAATGAGATACTACTTCATACCCACTAGGATGGCTATAATCAAAAGGACAGACAGTAACAAATGTGGGCAAGGATATGGAGAAACTGGAACCCACATCACACATCACTAGTGGGAATGCAATAAAATGGGGCTGCTGCTTTGGAAACCAGTCTGGCAGATCTTCAAACCATTAAACCATATCATCCAGCAATTCCAATCCTAGTTGGATACCCAAGAGAAATGCAAATGTATGCCCAGACAAAACTTGTACACAAATAGTCACAACATTATTCATAATACGCAAAAGGCAGAAACAACCCAAGTCCCATCTACTGATGAACAGATAAACAAAAGGTGGTATATATCCATACAACAAAGTGCCATTGACCCATAAAGGGAAATGAAGTATTAATAATGTTAAAACATTATGCCAAAGGACAGAGGCCAGAGGAAAAAATCAATCAACATATTGTCTGATTCCATGCATATGAAATGACTATAATAGGGAAATTTTCAGAGGCAAAGTAGATTAGTGATTACCAATGGACAGGTGGTGAAAGAAACGAGAGGGACTGCTAAGGAGTACTGTGTTTCTTTTCAGAGTGATGAAAATATTATAAAATTGATTGTGGTGATGGTCGCATAACTCTGTGAATATACTAAACACCACTGAATTCGGAGATGGAAACAACCTAAGTGCCCATCGTCGGATGAATGGATAAAGAAGATGTGGCACATATATACAATGGAATATTACTCTGCCATAAAAAGAAACAAAATTGAGCTATTTGTAATGAGGTGGATGGACCTAGAGTCTGTCATACAGAGTGAAGTAACTCAGAAAGAGAAGCACAAATGCCGTATGCTAACACATATATATGGAATTTAAGAAAAAAAAATGTCATGAAGAACCTAGGGGTAAAACAGGAATAAAGACACAGACCTACTGGAGAACAGACTTGAGGATATGGGGAGGGGGAAGGGTGAGGT